CGGCAGAGTAATTTTAAGTCTATAGACGTTATGATATTCGTATGACATACTTATATTTAATTACGTCTTGCTTTACGTTCTGCCTTATAAAGAACTTTCAAACTATGGAAACTTGTGAACCCACAGTTGATTGATTTATTATTAAATTGTTGACCACTATCTTTTGGACAAAACAAAATCAATTTCACAAACCAATAAGTTTTTGTTTTCACTTTGAAAAATTGATGCAAAAAAAAGTGTTTACGCCTGTTCGCTTTTTTTAAAAATTTGTTTTAAAAATTTTGTTTTAACTTTTTTTTTCAAGACGTTATTTATTTTTCTTTAAAAAAGTGTTATGACTTTTTCTTTATAAGATTGTTTTGCACGAGTCGATCATTCTCCCCCTCCCCCTTTGAAGTCTTGATGTAGAACCAAAAAATCTTATAAAGAAAAAGTCATAACACTTTTTTAAAGAAAAATAAATAACGTCTTGAAAAAAAAGTTAAAACAAAATTTTTAAAACAAATTTTTAAAAAAAGCGAACAGGCGTAAACACTTTTTTTTTGCATCAATTTTTCAAAGTGAAAACAAAAACTTATTGGTTTGTGAAATTGATTTTGTTTTGTCCAAAAGATAGTGGTCAACAATTTAATAATAAATCAATCAACTGTGGGTTCACAAGTTTCCATAGTTTGAAAGTTCTTTATAAGGCAGAACGTAAAGCAAGACGTAATTAAATATAAGTATGTCATACGAATATCATAACGTCTATAGACTTAAAATTACTCTGCCGTTTTGTCGTACACATTATTTATGTTTCTGTTAAAAAAAAAATCATTTGCAGTTAGCGATTCCATAACCTGTTATAACCTGTATTTGTTCTCAATTGGTATTTGTTATCGCTTTTTTTTTCTTCTTTTTGGTATCAATACGCGCTTTGTGTCTACACTGAATAGACATTACAAGAGACAAATACATGTACTTGTCTCAAGAAAACCAATGACGCCATAGCATAAATAAAAGTGCAAAAAGGTTGATCATTATTTGTTTACATTTGTAATAAAAGAGAGAACTAATTCGTGTCAACTGCTTATAAAAAAAAATCAGACTGCTGATCATTGTCTCAAGTAGGTAAATTAATCGCATAATTGAAAGAGACGTTACGCGAAGACACGAATTACAGTGTCTTGTCAAAATTATAACGTCTAATCATTTTCCTATTGCTACCTTTACATATGTCATTTCAAGTGGCAAATCCGCCAAGTCCATCTGCTATACATCAACTATCCCATACGCTATGACTCTACTTCTCGTAAATTTCCGTCTCACAACGGACGATGAATAGTATAGGTAACACCGAGGTAACATCACTTTCCAGTCATTGCTTTATTTGTTTTCTCGACAACTCAATCGCACCTTCTTTCTTGACAAATCGAAATAGTTTCTCACCACCACTAAAACCAGTTTCATGCTTCGTATGAGTATATCTTTCCCACGTATTCTTCCAATACCCAATCGTCACGTCCACGTGCACATCACTAATGACATTCAGCATACACTTCAATCTGGTTGCAAGCGGGAAAACTATTTGCACGAAAATATGAGAATGCAACAAAAGTAATGTTCTATTTTTTTTCATTCGCAAACGTCATTGCTACTTTTATTTAACCTATACATTATAAAGAATTTTTGTTTAAAAACAAACAACGTGGATACATTACTTTAAAAGGGTAAACGAAATCCACTTTTTAAAATTTCCAGTTAAAGCTCCTTTAGTTTGCTCATGATGATTGACAAAACGTCCTTCTTTTTCAGTTCGTTGTGAACAAATGTGTGGCTCCTTCCATGCACGCAAGCGTCCAACTCCTCCTCAAACATTTTATTCACGATTACGATGTAAACCAATTTAACGATGCAAAAGTATCGTTCCTTGGTGAGCTTGGTGATGGCCTCATCGAAATACTTGTCTGTCGTGTCTGACCACTCTAACCACATACAGTCCTCATGGTCTTTCTGGCTAGGATAGTTGAGTCTGCATCCTGTGCACGACTGATGCACCGCCTCGTTTATAAGACCCGAAAGTGCCTTGACGGCTATTACAGTGTAGGACAGGTGCTACAGGAAAATGTATGTCGTCTTTCGCCTCCATCGTCACCGTCTCCTGCAATCTGACATCTGTGTCTAGTCTGTCGTCCTTCTCTTCCTCCTCCTCCTCCGCAGCCACCTCCATCTCCTCGCTTTCTGCTAAGTTTCTGGAGACTTCTAAGGACCTTTTCAGGTACGTCTACTTCCATCTGACCCGAGGAGGATGATGGAGATGGAGGTCTGCTTGTTCCCCTTGGGGTAGTCACTCCTTCTATGACTGCATTCTGCCTCCGCAGTTGGCGGACAACTGGGGGTCTCGATGGAGAATATCCGATAATCGCGACTTCTGGTGTGAGTGGTGGTGAAGGAGATAGCTGTCCATCTGCAGTGAGCAAGGATCTTGAAAGTTTTTGATTCATTTTCGGCGATTGTATCCTGGTCGCGGAAAAAAGGGAGGAGCGTCAATCAGGTATTTTTTGAACTATCTACTTTTTTTAATTTCTTTTTTATTCTTCCTTTTTGTTTATTATGTTGTATTATCAAAAAACCAAAACCCCAAACAAAAACATCAAGTTGTAAAACTATTTCTTCACGTTACTCAAATCTCTGACAGCATCGCTGATTTCAAATTTGGCCTTGACCAATTTCCACCAATTTTCTCCCGTTAAATTGATACCCTTCTGCCCCGGGAGCATCCTGTTAGTACCTTTCGTGTTGTAGTATTCTCGAATGTTCACGTATGGGACTCCCCTGAATTTCTTGACTACAGCAAAACGCTTCCCACCCAAATGAAATGGTTTCGAACCTGCTTCAAATTTACATTTTTCCACATTAATTATCTCCTGACTAAAATGACACCCCGCCTCTTCCTTACCCGTAATCCAACTTTCACATTTTCTGTCACCTTGTGCCTATGATACAACAACAAAAAAAGAAGAAAAGAAGACAACACCATAAATATAATTGTTTTAAATCGAGTTTGTTGGAATGCATACGCATGCTTCACTTCTCTCACGCAGTTCACTTGCAATGCTTCTATTAATGCAAAGATACTCTTATTTTCAAAGACAGTAAGGTATAGTATTAACATTTAAATTAAAGAGTATACATATAATATAATTCAATCAAATCAATTCAAAATGGTTTATTTCAAAGAAAACTTTCATCGCGGCGTTAAGCCGAATTACAAAAGTTTACAAACAAAATTAATAACACATAGCATAACATGATATATTGAATTTGTAAAACAAATCAGTATATTACTTGACTATGGACACTTACCCTCATTGCCAAGATTTCAGGAGGGGTTGCTGGTTTGAGCTTCTTCTGCTCCACCGGAGACATTGAAAAACTGGCCCGATGTAAGACATTGGTGGCGTTGTTCTCTGGTATCATCCTGACCTTTGGCGTGTTTAACACAGTGTTGTGGATGGTGGCTTTTGTAGTGGTAGACTTTTTCGGTGAGCGAGTGGCCATCATGGTTATATATGAAGAGTTAGACCTATGTGTGGTATATGCTATAGAGATGCTTTCAAAGTACGAATTGTATAGCTCAGTGCTGAATGTGATACCTTATCTCAACACCACCCTGGTGTATATTTAGTCTCTTCACTACACGTCTCAATGCACCACACCCCACGACTAATCACAACGCACTCTTTTAATTAGTTGCCCAATCACCACCAAGCATGGGTCTTCTTTCACCAATCAAAAGCAAGACGATTAATTGAAATCATCCATTCGCAGCGTCTGAAAACTTCCGCTCTTCTGACAATCAAAGAGGAAAAATTGCTAATTCAAGATGGAAATGCGGGAAGGAGCTCTTAATTAGTCTATTGTTCTTTTAATTAATGCTAATTAGCTATGAATGGCTCATGCATGATTCACTAATTTAGCGCTGATGTCTATGATATAAAATGGTGCGAATCCTCCGACGTTTATACCTTACCTCACCCCTTAGGTTACGCCCTCTCAGTCACCCCTTCCTTTTCCCTCATCCAATCACAAGCACGCACAATGGTGACGTCACTCCAACAAGAAAGATCCTCGCATTCTCATTGCTCGGATACGTACCTGCGTACAAACAACATACCTGGCACAGGCCCATTGTTTTGGTCATTTGGTCATTGCCCGTCCTACCAGTAACACGTCCATCCCCAGACCTCTCCCATGATGATGATGACTCATGATGTAAACACTTCCTCCAGAGGAAAGACCCTCATAATTCAAGTTTTATGACCCAGATGCCACCCTTTCCATGAAAAAACTACCTGCATTAATTCACACACATCCTGACAGGAAATACCTGCATTAATTAACACACATCCTGACCGGAAATAGCTCGTTAAATTTCATTTCCTCTTCCCTATTGTTTTATGGAAGTCATTAAAAAGGATTAAGTAATTAAAAGGGATTAATACCCCCCGGATTAAAAACTCCCTCAAAGGCCCTATACAGCTGCTTACAACTATAAATGCCAAATTTGTTGACCTGATTTGTTTCCTCATGTCTGTCTAGTTCAAAATTCGTATATCTATGTTTAGAGCTTTTCACTGTTTGTGATTTTCGGCTAATTTCTCAAAACTCTTACCAAGTCCTCTTCAGTAAACAGAATCAACTATAAAATGTACATGTAGGCTTAGCCGAGTTTCACGATAGTTTCAATACTGAATTGCATGAAAATCAATACTGAATTGCATGAAAATGAATCGACATACAGGATAATCATTATCATTGTATGTATATGTCTTTGAAGGAGTCATTCCGAAAAGAAAGAAGATTTCGATGACATCTTGAAAAAAGTGGCGCATCTTACTGGAGGCAACATGGATATAGATACTCTTGGCAAGGCTCTTGGTTTTGATCCGGCCGTTATTGAGATGTACATAGCAACGAACATCCGTGGTCAGCATGTGACATGTGAGGGTACATTGAAGATGCTCCGCGATTGGCGAAATACCCAGAGAAAGGCAGAAGAACGATCAGTTCTTCTAGAAGCTTTCAGGGAGATTAAGCGTGAAGATCTTGCAAAGCTCTTAACCGGTGAGTACTCACAATTTAAAGTTATGATATTTTTTTCAAAATAATTCAAAAATATTATAACAATTAAGAAAAAGAGATTACATCACTTTTTTAAAGGCGATAAAAGTTGTCATTGCACTGACTCTTACCGTACACATAAAATGATACATACAGTTTAACATTATAACCATGCAGTCAAATTTGTGGGAGCCAAATCACTTTCACTTAACATGATAGTGGATCCATTTTTTTTTAATAAACAGGTCAATTTGTTCCTACATGTATCATTCACGTTTCAGGAAAGAACAGCCATGAAGAAGGTCACAAAGCATGTGTATATTAACTTAATAAAGATTTTCCTGACGTTTATATAAGAAATTCATGAAATTATCTAACTTTTCATTTGCCATCAGTGCCGATTAGCACTCGTTTATCATGCGTGCAGATCAGCAAAAAACAAGAGGCCCCATGTATTAATTAACAGAAGGATTACCTTCTTTTTGCGAAACAATGATACTGCAAAATTGCCCACTTCCATTCTTGATTAGCCCCATGACAATCCTCATAGCACGTGCAGATTGGTCTTGTACTGGATACGGTTAAATAATATTGAAGCGTTCAGCATATCTATCCCAATATCAATACAATGTACAATATGGTACAGGGAGATTATCTGTTTAGCTGTGTGGCGTGGCATATATTTGGCAGCAAATGCAATGGAATGCATCGCCTATAATACAAATACAATATTCGGCAAATGTATAGACATAGGTGCATACAAATTTAGAGAAACAATATTAATTTGATTTCCTTTCTTTTCTTCATGTTTATTCTTGTTTTCATTTTATTTTTTATTTCTATTTTATTCCTAGCTCCCGATGATCTTCCACAGCATGACCTATTGAAGAGTGTTGTGAAAGACATCAAGAAGTACTACTGCCTCAATATGTGTACCATTCAAGCAGACCCAACCAATAATGACGTAATGTTTGAGTTCGACCGTATCTACACCGATCCGACTTTGCGCGAAGAAGATAGAAATGACAAAACAAAAAGAAATTCGCTGCTCTATTGCAACCTCCTCAAAACAAAAATCAACGGACAATCGCCAAATCGATTACTAGTACAAGGTAGAGGTGGAGCAGGAAAGACGACATTCTGCTCCAAGATAGCTTGGGATTGGGCAAATGATCTTGGCTTCCAGCAGTTCAAGTTAGTTGCTGTGATTTCCTTTCGCAAGGCCAAGAACAAGACAGTTGGTGAAGTTATCAAATCCTACCTACCTGACGACAATCCGTTTACAGCAGCGCAGATAGATGAATATATCCTATCCAATCAGGAAGACGTCTTTCTGGTATTTGATGGTCTAGACGAACTTTGGGGAAAGTTATCACACCGTCATCAAATCAATCGGATCATTCGCAACCTGCTGTTCATGTCTGGCACGGTCTTGGTAACATCACGACAGTGGAGGGCGGATGAGATCTGCAGCAGCACTGAACTCAAGAAAGTATACGCGTTCATATACCTAGAAGGGTTCTCAGTCGACAGTGTTGCTGCGTATATCACGAAGTTCTTTCACCAAGACGCAGCTCCCTCACAAGAACTGATTGATTTCATCACCAGCAACGATGTCATTGCCGATAACATGGCACCCTTCCCGATCTTCTGTGCTATGTTGTGCATCATGTGGAGGGAGTCCGACGGAAAAAGACGAGAAGCAATGTCTAAGTTGAAGACATTTTCACAGGTGTTTGAAGAGATGGTTGACTTTCTGGTAGACCATTATGGATCCAAGGATGATTTCCAGACAGGTCCCACTGTGCAGGAGCTCCGTCAGATGATTCCCAATCATCTAAAAGCGATTGGCGAAATTGCCTTTCAGGGGATTAAAGACAGACGTCTAGAGTTTCCTGAAGACACCTTTCAGAGTTGCAGAGAATCTATGGAAATGGGCTGCAAAGTTGGGGTCCTGACAAGAGAGAAGCATGCTACCCCGAGATGTGACAGACGGAACAACCCTCATTTAGAAATGTCCATGGTGCAGTTTCCTCACAAGCTCTTCCAGGAATTTATGGCGGCCAAGTATCTGGCATCATTGCATAGTTCAGATCACAACAGATATGAGAGGATCATAGCTGACTTCCTTGCAGAGAAATTGGAGTTTCGTTATTTGCTCTATTTCACGTCTGCTCAAGGGAGTGACCTTGGCCTGGACATTGTAACGCGTCTCATTGCCCAAAAGAGGAATAGCTTCATGAATTTGTTTGAAGAAGATTATGGAACAGATTTCATCATTGATGTAGCGTATGAGAGCCAACAACAATCAGCTGCCGAGAAAGTGGTGAATCAATTAATGGGAAGCTGGACAACTTTGGTGATCTCTGACAGTTGGTCATCACATACGCTCTCTGGATTTCTGTTTATCAGGGACCATCTGCATGCAGTGGTAAACAAAACTTTCTATTCTTAGGCAAAACGTAACTAAACCTGATGTACATCTCGTGGTATATCATGATAGCCAAAGTTAGAACCATCTAGCTGACAAAGGCTCCAAATCTAATCACCCCTTATAGTATGGATATTCCTATATTTTCCTCATTATGTTCGACAGAGGGTTCTTTACTTAGGTATTTTTTTACTTTAGACTACAGCATATAATATCATCATTCTATTTATTATTATTATATAAGTAATGTTAAGTGCTGACATATGGCGTATTTTTTTTCTTCGATTAAATGTCTAAAATTCATTGTAAACAAATTGTATGTTATGACGTAATTACACCGATTCTTTTCAGTTGCACAAAAAGCAATATTCTCTTTTTTCAAACCGCTTTAGTATTTCACAGCGTATTTTTCGGTGGTTAGCTATGATGATTAATAACGCACGTACTGTGCACTACCATAAACGTTCACACATATCACGTTTCTTTTAAGCTAAACAAAGTCATCGAGGTGGTTCAAATTATTAGGATAAAGCTCTCGAGGCAACTATCTGTGGCAGCTTTGATGTTCATTTTTCATATTTCGGATGTGTCATAGCACAGGTTTCTTATATGTCTCTATCACGTCATAGAATTGTTTATCTTTCTACCTGTCAGGATTCCCTTGTCTTGACAAAGGGATGTGGCCGCAAAGCTTCGCAAGACATAGCAGAATTCATCCTCTCAACGGCATCACTAAGAACTCTGGTTATCAGAAATTTATTTGGACCCATGCATTATGTCTTCTACTCAATTCTTGCTGATAAGGCACAACAATGTAAGGTAGGTTCATCAACCTAATAACAAAATGCTCGTATCAAAATTTGATAGTGCATAGTGTAGTAGTTTAGGTATTTGGTTCCTACAACCTACATACAATGTATTGAAATCCGTCACATATATACTCTACTACTGCCACTACTACTACTATTTCTACTATTGTTACTACTACTCCTACTACTAATACTACTACTACCCCCCTAAAAAAAACCTAAACCCCCCCTCCCCCTTTGTTTTTTTTTTTTTTTTTTTTTTTTTTTTTTAAATTATTAAAAAAAAAATATATATATATATATACCCACGGCTAACCTAAAAAGTGACCTTACCCCCCCCCCCCCCCCAACGAAGAAAAATGTCAAATTTTGAAATTTCGAGACCAAAAAAAAAAAAAAAGTGTCCGCTTACCCCCCCCCCCCCTACTACTACTACCATTACTACTACTACTACTACCATTACTACTACTACTATAACTACTACTACTACTACTATAACTACTACTACTACTACTACTACTACTACTATTACTACTATTACTACTTTTATTACTACTACTACTACTACTACTACTATTACTACAGGCTGTAAGACTAACAAACATGTCTCCTCCGTTGTACCTCCACTAGCACCATTAAAAAAGGGAAATGAGTATGCCAGGTTAGATAAATAGTATAATCACCCATGTTTAAAGGTAGAAGGCATTCGCTGAAAAGTCATGTCCTTTGCTCGTATTCTCTTTTTGATAAAAAAAATAAAAATAAAAAATACAATAAAACAGACAGACACAGATGTTTAAGTAAAGATATTTCACATGCCTGTTTATCTTATTCCTAATTTCCTGTATAAACTTTGTTGAATGAAGACACATCTTACTTTTTTTTTTCTTTCTAATTCCTTTTGTTCTTGTTGTGAAACATGATTTTGAAGGGATAATAAAATAACCATACAAAGCTATCATGATTGTAGATTGAGAAGTTAATGAACTTAAACGCTGACGTTCGAAAACGATCTTTAGAGTCACGTAATCTTGCCTAATTCATCTGCAAGTTGCCTCAACTTCAAGACCTGAGATTGGAATCCAGAAAGTCTCAAAACGATTTCTGCAACAGCCCAGTCAATGGCATCTTTAGCGAAAGTATATCTTTCTAGAAATCGTTGACTAGCATTTGTTTCGGTGAATGTAATGTATACGTGAACATAAATATTTTGTTCAACATTATTACATCATAAACGTGATGTTGTTTTCCTTCAATCTTATCAGTGAATATAGTCACAGTACATAATTATTGTTGAACCCCATCAATCTTCATTATAACTTATATGAATACAATATTATATATAGTGTAGATAAAATGTATAATAATATAAATTTAATTTTATGATTTTGGATTTAATTCATTATGTTCTGATCAGATACAAAATATGTATTTACAACAAATTTAAACAGCCTTGGCTTGGAATCATTATAACTCCTGTATTTATTTTATTTAAATTGTATATTTATGGCAGAACAATAATTTGCGTATTACTTTTCTTTTAATGTGACAGTTGAATGTAAAGTGTTAATTCTTTTCCCGTCTTGTGGCTAAAAACATATAAACAATGAAAATCACTGGAACATGAATATGATAAATAATGTCATCGTATTTTAGAGGGAAACTTATTCTCTGAATTGATTGTATATTCAATTTTCAAATATTTTTATATTTTACGGCAGATTCAAAACCTTACGGTTGAGTCCTTGGACCTACATGACCAGCAACTGTCATCGCGTGACCTGGCAGTGTTCATCTGTCAGATGCCTTACTTAGAGAGTTTGTCATTTTTTAACAATAAGCTACATGAAGACTTCTTTTCGAAAAGGGCTTCGATTGTATCGTCGGCAAAGGTATATCATAATAATCCACTTCGGAGATCTGCGCATGGTCAGACAAAGATCATTTGGACAAAACTCTAAAACTCATTGAGATGACTGCTGGATACGTGTTTATGAAATTCATGTAATCATTATTCATTTATGCACCGATGCACCATATGATGCACAGGTGGAAATATTATTTTCAAAAGGGCAAACAAAATGTATTCATGAAGCACCTCCATCACTCTGACAGTGCTGGTTCGACAAAGTTTGTTCAGTTCTTTGAGATTGTCATGGTTGATTTATGTATTTGCTTTAGATGTCTGAATTGGATAACAATAACAATATTGACTGGCTAAACTTTCTGGAGATACCACATATATTGCCCTCACAAGACCCATATTGCCCTCGTCTTTGGTTCGGGGCAATATGAGTCTAGTTTGAGAAATATATGTTGTATCTCCCTCAAGGCCAGTCCATATTATATAAATATCCTGGGAGAATCAAAAAATGAATTGTATATGTTATATTTCTGAAAAGTAATTTGAATGTTATGATTTGTATTTCGACATAGATCTCTAAAGGTTAATTCTTGGCCTATCACGCCTGTCTGATGATTCTGTTCATAATTCAACATAGTTAGGTGTTCCAACTTTATTGATACAAGTGTATACAATATATAATATAAAAGGGCTTGTTCACATTTCTATTGATTTAGGGTAATAATCATACCTCTCTGCGTGAGTTGACAGTAGACCCCCGCATGGTGGTTGCCTTGCAGTCGACGTGTGGTGACATGTTTGACCGAGTGGAGAAGTTGTCTTTCAGCTTCTTTCAACATTTCGAGTTTGACTTCCTCCAAAGGTAATGGATTTTTTTCTTTATTTTAGACTGATATGTGTGCATTTATTGCGTATTTGCATATTCATATTATGTCCCCGCCCCCTCCCCTCCACCTGTCTCTGTATTTATAATGTTAGTCGGAGATTTACAATTTTGCTCGTATATGTGTGCATGCATGAGTGTGTTCATGTATATATACATATGGAATGAAAGAGAGAGAAACTGGGAAGTACGAATGCACGACAAATATGAAGAAACAAATGAATCTAATTGCATTCTCTCCCTTCTTCCCCCTCTCTATTCAACCCATCTCTTTCGCTTATAGCTTTCTTAACATAACATTTAAATTGCCATATTGAAAATTGTATTCAGCTGTCTTTATGAGATGATTCGACGTTGTATTAATAGTTTGATTGTTTATGAGCAAGTTGCAAGTTTAGAATTTGTGCAACAAATCAATACTTGATTAATTTTATCTTTATTACGCATAATCAATTAATACAATCTTTGTCATGTAAATGGCAGCTCTTGAGCTCAGGGATGCCATATTTTGTTAAGCCATTGCCCTTAAAACTTCCCTATTTAATTTTTGTTTCATGTCAATATCTTTTCATGTTCACTGTAAACCAACTGGTTTGTCCATTGAGCTGCATATTTTACTTATTTTCATTACTTTTTTTCATATAATATCCAACACCTTCCAACAACTATACAAAAAGGGTTCATGGGTTCCAAGGAGTGACAGAGCTGACCATCGGTGACGGATCCATTCAAGAGCCTTACCCGTCCATAGGTGAGCCCAGCTCAATGTTCAAGCACCTCGAGAGGGTTTTCCCTCAACTAGTCAAGCTAACATTCAGAATTGACGTGGGCAATGCAATCCTCAAACAGGTCTTGGAATCACTGAGAGAGACTCGAGGCCTTCCATTGAGCTTCAAGAGCTCCAGGTGAGGTGGTGTTTTGATTTGTTATACCATGTCACGCAGTAATAGTCCTTTCCTGCCACTAACCTATCCTCTCTCGACTGCTCTTCCACCCAACCCTCTCTCTCTCTCTCTCTCGCTCTATCTGTCTTACACACAAACACGCACACACACACAGACACACATACATACACATCTACTTTCTTTCTCTCTCTCTCCCTCTCTCTCTCTCTCTTTCTCTTTCACTATAAATATACTGTATTTCATGCCATGCATAAGTTTTCCCACGATTTCTCCCCTACTCTTTTCCCCAGAATCTTATTATACCAGGGGGGTGTTTCACAAAGATCCTAAATCGAACTTAACTAAGTTGGACTTAAATGTTATGGAGAGCCATTTGTAGCCTTGAAATAAAATATATTAAAAAGCAGTAATTCAACTTTTTTTTTACTTTTTATAAATTCCACATCAAGAACATGAAATCCCCGCTGTTAATAGAAAATATTAATTATTTGAATCAACATTTTATGCCTTTAAGAATAACTTTTACGAAAAAAATTCATAGATGCCAACGGCTTTCCATAGTTGTTAAAGGGGCATGTTCCCCGTATTCCAGAGGGCGTTCAAAATACGTACCCGCTGGCGGACGGTGCTAACTGCCTATTGACATCAACAGAATACGGCTCTTACGCAGATGGCATGTTCCGAATGCCCGGACAATGACGATTATCGCATACATGTGCCGAAGTAATACCAATCGCAGTTCGGCTCTAAGATTCGGCTGCTGTTTCCGCCCACTTTCGTGACGTCGCGATCGGCAGCAATCAGCTGGCTTGGCGAAGGCAGGCCAGGCCGCGCGTACTTTGATTGACAGCTGTATGCAAATTAGAAGTCGACATTCGGAACCAAGATGGCGATGACTAGAGCAGCGATAACTACACTGGCGGGAACATGCCCCTTTAAGTCCAACTTAGAGATAATTTCAACTTAGGATCTTTGTGCTGCTCTCACTCTATCTCTCTTTGAAAAAGTGCGATGTCTTATATTTTGTCTTATGATTATCTAAATATAAAATGTATATAAATCCGCATTAGTTGGTTAATTGTGGGTAAGAGAAATGCATTAGAAATGTTCAAGTAAAACAATGAACCATACACATAAGGAAAAGATTAGAAACTGAACAAAAAATGTTAGAGAGGAAGCTGGCAGCAAGATACATTTCAACAAAGAGAGAGAAAAAATAAATCGATTGGGAAAGGGAGTGGATAGTGATTAACTATCCTGCAAATATTACGGATCCGCTACAATTAAGGTGATTCTGATCATTTTCAAAGCTCTCCATGGCATGTGTCCAGAGTACATCTCAGATTTGCTCACACCGTACATCCCACCAATAGTACAGCGGATTAGCTCCCCATATAACGAGAATTGTGCACTTTTTGATAAAAGCATGAAACTTCTAGCATAGTTGGTTTAGACCATAAGATTCATTTTCAGATGTGGAGGGAAGTCAGATTTGACCTCTGATGACCCTGAGAGGTCAAATTCAAAATGGCCGCCAGGCCGCATGGTCTAATGTATAAACACGCTTAACTTTTGAACCAAATAGTCCAGAAAAACATTTAAGGTGTCGTTTCCAACTAAATTGAGGATGCCAATGCATTTAGTAATACTTTTGAGATCGCCAGATTTCGGGGTTTGGCATTTAGGTCAAGGTTAAGGTCAAAATTGACTAAAAATAGCAAGTTTTCAATTGTTTACAACGAAACAAATCCCATTTATTTGTCATTTGTTCGCTCCTATGTTCTCAAATTTCTTTAAGAGTGGTTCCCCTGCAGACCATGAGATTCATTTTCAGATGTAGAGCGAAATCAGATTTGACCTCTGATGACCCTGAGAGGTCAAATCAAAAATGGCTGCCAGTCCGCCGCATAGTCTAATAATTGTCCAAACACGCTTAACTCTTGAACTAAATAGTCCAGAAAAACGTTTAAGGTGTCATTTCCAACTAAGTTGGGGATGCCAATTCATTTGGTAATACTTTTGGGTACGCCAGAACTCTGGGCTTTGCATGAAGTCAAGGTCAAGGTCAAAATTGACTAAAAAAATAGCAAGTTTTGAATGTTTACAAAAAGTTTTCCCATTTATATGTCCCCCTATGTTCTCACATTTCTTTAGGAGTGGTTCCCCTGCATAGTCTCCATCGTAATCCCTGTCAGTTAGTTTATTTCACTAATTATAGCACCAAACCAGTAGTTGTTTTGTAACTGACCATATGCATATAGCATGGTCAGTGGGCAGCTAGGCAGTATACGGTACAAACCTCAATTCAAGTCAGGGAAACTGCTCCTTTCCGTTACTGCTCAATAATACTGGTAAGATGTTCTTTAAAGGCCCACTACACTACTTGTAGCTACTTGCGCCCTCTATATAACAAACAATGCATAATCGGTGACCATCGGTCCCCATGATCCTCTTTTTCTTATATTAACTGAGAGCTGAGTTGATGAGATAACCACCTGTCCAGTGACCTTGCAGGGCGCTCTAATCCCTCCTGTAAACTATGGCAGATAAGCTTTAAGTTACTTTGTGCTTTATTTGGTTTAAGTAATTTAAATAATCGATACAGAGTTTGAGGAACATGCCATAAAGCAAACTAACGTTTCCGCTAACACTATACAAACATCACCTTGACCAGCAACCTGGAGTGCAGGCAGCATTCTTGAGGGATGGGAACTTCTGACAGTACTGAAAGAGATGGGGAATCATCTCTAGAACAAAGTCAAGACATACTAGTCATTGGCACAAGCGACATATCATGGACATCCAATTGGCTGAAATGGGGAGAAGGATTGAGACCCTAGGTGAGCAGTACATAAAGTTTGTGACAGAAAGGCTTGAGCAGTGTACGACACCTAGCTGTCACACAAACACTTCATACGAACAAGTTGCCATTTTTCAGTCGGCAGCCGGCGAAGGTTATATATATGTTAAAACAGAAGGCACAGCTTGCAGCACTTAAGAGTGACTGTGGTCTCTTTTTGAGGATTTACATCTCGTGTCAGACAAGGGATGGAGATATGGACAATTTCTTCTCTCATGAAAACCAGGCAGTCCCGCCAGCTTTGTTAACTGGAGGTAAATGCGGTTTGGAGTTAAAGCAGATCTACTTCGCTGCCTGGAATCAAATCTGCTCGAAAACAATAGTGCACCTGTGGCCCAAGCAATAATTATTGATGGTGAAGCTGTGGTTCAAATGCTCAACCCTGGAACATCAAGAACATTTCAAGTGTATGGAGAAAAAGTGTTTGCCCCATACATCTTTGCTCAACTCGAGAAAAGCATCCGCATCGACCTTGGCTATGGTGTATACTTACCTTCTAGCCTGAAAGCCTCAATAGGGCAGGAAAAGGGAAAGGGCACCAGGAAAAGGGTGGCTCCTTCTATTTTGCTGCCAGAAAGCTGGAAGGACTTCCTTCGATTCAATGAGAACAAAACCGAATTGTTTAATTTCATGTCATGCGAAGCCGTTTACCTTCCTCTACCACAGGGCAAGGAACTGTATAATATGCAACAGATGGAAGTGGAGTACTCTGCTCTCCTGCTGAGTCACACTTGGCAGGCCTTGTCCCATGGGTGTAAAAGGGTATCCATACGTATTGTTGGTAATGATGCGGTTGAACTGGCCGTGGCTTCATTCAGCAAGACAGCTCCTGATGCTGGGGATCGCTTTTGGTTTCAGATCAAGCTTTCGGTACAAGGCTTTTCATAAAATCATGATAGTTGCCACCATGAGTCTGACACAATGTATGACTCTTCCCATCTTTCATGCGTTCATCGGGTGTCACACGTCTGTTTCTACATTCACAGGAAAAACTTAGAAGTCTTTCCCAGAGGTGAATGATTCCTTCAATGAACTATATCCTGTGCATGCCCAGGGAGGTCAGTGAAGGATCAATGTTACTGCCAGAGCGATTTATGGTGCTAATACGACCGAACCAGTGAGAGCATGATAGTGAATGATGCCAGCAAACAGCTCTTCGCACAGAAGTCTAGAAACCTGGAGAACTTTCCTCCATCCCAGGCAGCACTCAAGCAGCACCTCAAGCGCACTTGCTACCAGGCCAACTGTTGAAACCAGATATTGGCCAAGAATCCAGAGATGCAGAGCCATCTGACTTGGGCTGGACAAACGAAACAACTGGGTGGCAGCCTCTTTGGACCACTCTCCCGGAAGCATAAAAATTGTGGCATGAATAATCCACTGTCGCTGCAAGAAAGGATGCACTGAACTGTGATCTTGTTCTGGAGACTGTTAGATTTTGATCGTTACCATCATTAGGATATGCATAAGTTGTGGACAGTGCTAAATTCATGTAGATATCTATAGCTGTGGTTATGAACAGGTTTAAGGTCGTATTTGGAATAGCTTTTTTTTGTCATCTGGGCCCAATTTCATAAAGCTGCTAACCGGTAAGCAAATTTTCGTGCTATAACTGTAGCAGACAAATTTGTACCTTGTACGTTCACAATGGGTTGCATTGTTACAAAATTCATTTTCGTCCAGTAAGCAGCGTAAGGTTAATGCATTTTCGTGTGCTTACGGTTAGCAGTGCGTTGAAGTAGAAACTAATACGTAAGCACAGAACCAGCCGATAAGCAGCTCTATGAAATTTGGCCCTGGATAGTCAAAGTGGTGGTACACGGGTCTTTTTATTAATTTTTAAAATAATGAAACCTTAAGTGTCAAAATAGAGGCAAAGTTTATTTTAAAAAAGAAAACAGCACTTTTTAAGCCTAATATGACCTTTAACTTGACCTTATTAAATCCCTGAGTTCTGGCGATCTCAATGTATTACGTAATGAATTGGCATCCCCAAGTTAGTTGGAAATGACACCTCAAACGTTTTTCTACACTTTTTGGTTCAAAAGTTACCACGTTTGTACATTAGACCATGCGGACTGGCGGCTATTTTGGATTTGACCTCTTAGGGTCATCAGAGGTCAAATCAAACTGAAAAAGACTACCTGAAAAGGATTAAGGTGGAGGACTATGCAGGGGAACCATTCCTAAAGAAATTTGAGAACAAATGACAAATAAATGAGATTTAACCATTTGTAACCATTCAAAACTTGCTATTTTTAGTCAATTTTGACCTTGACCTTGACCTAAATGCAAAACCCTGAGTTCTGGCGATCTCAAATGTACTACCAGATGAACTGGCATCCCCAATTGAGTTGGAAATGACACCTTAAATGTTTTTCTGGATTATTTGGTTCAAAAGTAACTGCGTTTATACATTAGCCCTTGCGGACTGGCGGCCATTTTGGATTTGACCTCTCAGGGTCATCAGAGGTCAAATCAAACTGAAATAGACTACCTGAAAAGGATTAAGGTGGAGGACTATGCAGGGGAACCATTCCTAAAGAAATTTGAGAACAAATGACAAATAAATGAGATTAAACCATTTGTAACCATTCAGAACTTGCTATTTTTAGTCAATTTTGACCTTGACCTTGACCTAAATGCAAAACCCTGAGTTCAAGCGACCTCAAAAGTATTACCAAATGAATTGGCATCCCTAAGTTAGTTGGAAATGACACCTTAAACGTTTCTCTGGACTATTTGGTTCAAAAGTTAAGCATGTTTGTACATTAGACCATGCGGCCTGGCGGCCATTTTGGATTTGACCTCTCAGGGTCATCAGAGGTCAAATCTGACTTCCCTCCACATCTGAAAATAAATCTTATGGTGAAAGCAAACTATGCTAGAAGTTTCATACTTTTATCAAAAAGTGCACAATTTTCTTGCTAAGCCGCTGCACTACAAGGCGTTTGCGGTCATCTTCTCAACACCTTCTCACCCTCAATCATGGAGCCACAAAAACCTATGGTGACAGGGCATTTGCATGTGGTGGACCAAAACTTTGGAACGCTCTCCCAATGTCGCTATGCTCCATGACTGATGTTGAAGTTTTTAAGAGAGCGCTGAAAACTCACCTATTTGATGAATGCTTCGAGTAATTATTATGTAAACGTACATTGTACATTGTAAAGCGCTTTGGGAGGGCCTTCGGTCCTGAAATGCGCTATAAAAGAACGAACTATTATTATTATTAATGTGTAGTATTCAATTAAGATCACTTCAAAATTTACTTTCCATAGAAATCAATAGTTTGCATCTTTCATAAACTCATGTGCAATTGCGTTAACGAATTCACAACGTCTAAGTAAGTTAACTAGATTCACTTACAAGACTATGTTTATCTCCCAGAATTCTGACGAGTTGGGAGTCTATGGAGATTGATGGCTGGGACGAACTGCTTGCCATCAGAGATAAAATCAACAACGAGAACGTCTTCAGAGTTGAGGTGGAGACTTTACATTAGAGTAAGCCAATTATGATATACAGTCATGAAAGCGTTGGCAAACATTGGCAGAAAGTGGATTCCATGTTTTAGCCCATTAAAAATATAAAAGCTCGGACTGGAGTCCATGGAAAATGAAAGTTGAATGAGGAAATATGAGCACAGACTCCACAGAGACCTCGAACACCTTGGCCTGTATTCTGGAAACGATGTTATTATCTTTTATGGAACTGAATTATGTTATTATCTTTTATGGAACTGAAGTTATGTTATTATAAAAAAAAGAAATTGCCCTGAATAGAGACACTTCTCATCAGTATTGACGCAGATGTGCCTTAAAGCAGCATGCATGTGCAGCCAGGTTTGCGCTGAAATTCATCAAGGGTTGGATGATGAGTCAGGTGATGAGTTGGATGATGAGTCAGGTGACGAGTTGGATGTCGAGTCAGGTGACGGGTTAGATGATGAGTCAGGTGACGGGTTGGATGATGAATCAGGTGATGAGTTGGATTATGAGTCAGGTGACGGGTTGGATGATGATTCTCAGCGCCTGGCGAGTCCGATGTCATGGTAAACTGAAGAGTCTGGTGATCATTCACATATCGAGTCAGGTGACGGGTTGGATGATGAGTCATGTGACGAGTTGGATGTCGAGTCAGGTGACGAGTTGGATGATGAGTCAGGTGACGAGTTGGATGATGAGTCGGTGACGGGTTGGATGATGAGTCAGGTGACGGGTTGGATGATTGTTCAGGTGACGAGTTGGATGATGATTCTCAGCGTGCTCCTGGCGAGTCCGATGTCATGGTAAAATGAAGAGTCTGGTGATCATTCAGATGTCGAGTTTGGTGACGGGTTTTACAATGAGTTCGGTAACCCAGGTCTGATAAAGATTTCGATGAGGAGTCTGATGATGAGTCTGATGAAAAGTCCTATGATGAGCAGAAATTAAGATTCCAATTTTCATTCAGATGAAGAGTCTAAGAACGAGATTTATGATAAATTCAATGACCAGCCTTGAATCCAAAAAGTATTAGCATGTCATTTTCGATGAGTTCGATAATGATGATTTGTTTTCTTCATTCGTTTTGTTTTGTTATCCAAACAAAATTTAAGTCACATTATATTTCAGCATGACAAATATTACACATTTGGTGATTGGTGCCAACAAATATCAAGAACTAGTCAAGGTTTACCCCATTCAGTACCATTTATAACAATAAATCAAACATTAAGAGTAATCATTGAACAATAGAGATATTTTGGGAATGTTAGGGTGAGGGTTAAGTACGTGTATAGTGTAATATTGAGGGTCACTTGAATAATTCCGTTAGTATGGGGAAATTATCGTGGAGCCATTGTTACAGGAACATGTGTCTCGCAACCGCACATGTACTAAGCATATAATCACCACAACCCGGTATGTTGTATCATATCTTACTCATGAAACATCTGCAACATTTGGGAATAATGTTAATTTATTATCATGTCTGAAGTATTACAATACTGTGACAAAACAATGTCCTTAGTGTAATATAATTGTGGTCTCTATGACGTCTTTACTCTGACTGTACTATAGCACGTTAATTTGTTATATTGTGAAAATAATGTGGTAAAACCATGCCATTATACTGATGGTGATTTTGCTGTAGCATTATCTTGGCCTGTTTTTTTATTTTTAAATCACTTTGACATATGTGTTATCTTTCCTTTGACGTTACTATGGTATTATCATGTCTTTATCATGTCACCGGAGTGTGGATCACAAAGTCCGTGGTTCAGGTCCCACCGCGGCACTAATGTCCTTTGGCAAGACATTGATCTACATTTGCCACTCTCCACCCAGGTGTTGAATGGGTACCCGGTAGGATGCGAAAGCTAATGTTCTTAGATTAGCAAGTGTGCGCTTGTAAAAATGACGCCTGGCTGGAATACTCCCCAGGGAGTGGAGAATGAGCATACATTGTGTGCGGGTAATCCTGAATCCGATGACCGGGGTAATAATATGATTGCAGGGCCCTCAGGAAGAACAGTATGAATACTGATGAGGCTACCCTGGGTAAACAAGACATATTATTATTATTATTATTAAAGGGACATCACTGTCAGTTGATCATGACTTTGCCATTATAGTCATGTCATATTCATGCTTTTTACTGCAATGTAATGTTGCAATACCCTAATTTTTATATTAATAATATCGTGGCATTACGTTTTTTTGTTCAAACAATGTAGTTTCCTTTTATATTATTATGTAATGCATTTTACTGGGCTTTGTTGGCTCTAACTATTGCGTGTTTTCTCTTTCCCTTTTAATGTGTCATGCACATGTATAGCTACGAAAAATTATTTGTGTAAATCTTTAATTATATACGTTTGTCATTTGTTATTCACAACCACTGTCCTTATTCTTATTTGTGATCCTAATACATGCAATCCGCGATTTCGTTTACATTAATTAATTACAAGTTTATTTCAAGTCGATGACATAGGCCTACTAGTTTATCTAGTTGTTTAATTTTTGACCTCCTATGTTCAATCACTCAACGAGTTTAACTATTTTTGATAGAAGTAAACCCTTAATAATATGCACCCCCCCCCCCCCCCAATTATTGGGACATATTCATTTCACAACCTCGTTCTTGTTGTTTTTTCTTTCTTGGCTGATGCTTGCCTAGTACAGGGTGTTGCTTTTAAGTGTAATTTTAGGATGTTGCCTTTAATACATTTTAAGGGTGAACTTAGGGTGTTACTTTTTGTACTTCAAATTTAATTGTAATATATGTATGTTTGTTTAATTATTAATTTGTGTTTAGTGACTTTCGATATCATATTTCTATATATTTGTATCATATTCTGGACCCCTTGGTGGAACAGCGCCACCATGTTGGTGTATGCTGAGTAGGGCCATCCAGCCGTTTATCCCTTTTTAGTATGTGTACATAATGTGTAATGTTTCGAATACTGTACTTCTTTTTATACGGAAATAAATTCGCTTCCAATTCAAATCAATAATGGCAATAATACATAGAGTGTATTGTATGTTTGTGCATAACCAATATATTAAACTGAAGTAAACCTGGCACGAAGCTGGTCTTTCAAAAACTACTAGTCAGCCCTGTGTTCATAATGATATTCACAGAGGTATGTGCACAATATGTATGTAATGGTTTGTCGCCCTCTAGAATTGTTGTTTATACCCGTTTGATTGCAAGCATCCAAGCAGAAGGAGCTCAATCCATGTCTGTGCACTCCCTTCTGTTGTGATCTTGATAGAATAAGTTCAATATATGTAAATTTGGTTAATGTTTAATGGGACACTACTTGAAATTGTTAGCGAATTGCAATATTGCTAATAAATAATGGCAACATTATTTAAGGAAGTACGACATCCTGCACTTCAGGTTTATATTGGAGTAGAAAGTGCGAGCTAGAGAGAAAGAGAGATAGAGAGAGTGAGAGGGAAATGGAGAGAGAGGGAGAGCAAGAGAGATATTATTATTTAAACTCAGTTTTATTTAAACAGTGGTGCTTTTTAATTTGAAAACTGCTGTCCTAGAGGGCCCTGGGTAATAACAACTGAATTAATATAAACAGAAGTAAGATACATAACATACAATCCTAATGTAGAATTTACAGTAGAGTGGAAATATTAACAATAAATGAAAGCACACATATATATTTAAAAGCAAGAGAGTAACATTCTTATAACTTATAAATAAAAAAAGTGAAATGGGGAGAGATACTGACAGCTGGAGAATATTGGGTAAGATATTTAGGAAAAATACAGAAATAAAAGGAAGAGATGAAGGTGAATGATGGTAAGGAGAATGGGAGAGGATGTAGGTAGAAAGTGAAACACGAAGCAAAGTGATTGAGAGGTAGAGGACAAATGAAAGGGAAGGATGAGGATAATTCAAGAATGAAGAATATGGAAGAAGAAAATAACTTATCAATAACAAATTTGATGTAAATTAGATAGAGAGAGAACGAAAGAGAGGGAAAGAGAGGGATATCATGGAAGACAGGGAGGAAGATAGAGAGCGCGTTTGAGAGAGTGTGCTTGAGAGAGAGAGAGGGGGGGGGGAGGAGAAAGAGGGAGGGAAAGCTTCAGGGCGAGACAAGGGAAATAAAGTAAACATAAGCATGAAGTGTGAAACGCGAAGTGCAAATCATGAAGGTTGATTGGACTAGAAACATGGTCTATAATGCTCCTCGATCATCTCTAGAGATGGATATGTTGCGCTTTATAAAATTATATTGTTATTATTATTATTATTAAATGTGAACAACGCACCTGTCACTAATCCTCCCAAGCAGTGAATGATGTGGGAGAGAGAGAGAAGGAGAAAGAGATAGAGAAGTAGAAAGAGAGAGAGAGAGAGAGAAAAGAAGAAAGAGAGAGAGAGGGGGGTGGAAGTGAAATTTGACGTTTATTTGTTCTACATTCACATAACTTTAATTCCTATTCATATGAAATTGTAGAGTAACAAAGCAAGACTGGAAGATAACCGAAGTAAAGTATTGTAAACGGTAACAAGCAGCTTGGCGTTCCGAGGGAAGTGTAGACACCCAGCCAATTCATGTGAAGTGAGGAGTTTTAATAAAAGACATATCCTGTACAAGATATATAGTGACAAGGGGAGATGAGAAAAGAAGAGAGAAACAGATAGGAGACAGGAAGATAGAAAGAGAAGAGAGGAGGAGTCGGATAAATAACAATAAAAGAAGGGCGAAGGGGGGGGGGGGGTCGTGACACGATGAAGAGGGGGAAATAACGTACAAATATAATTGCCAGAGAGACAAAGTGAGTGAGACACCACATAAATGAGAGAAAGAGGGAGGAGAGAAAATATAAAAAGCGGTAAGAAAAACAGGGAGACGAAGAAAGATGGATAGCTACATTTAGAGTTAGAGAGATAGAGGGGGTGGAGAACAAGATTTCCCGCGCAATTTAACGAGAATTAATTTATATCCATCCGAGGAATTTGTTTTAAAGAAGTGATGACAGCTCTGCGAAAACTACCCTCACCATGCATCAGTTATGTCTTTAAGGTGAGACCCTGATACTTGAGAGGTCTTTCAAAGAATATTGTTCCCTTGCTTCTCAACATATTTTCTTCTTTTCTTTTACTTTCGCGTTATATAAAATTCAAAGAGTTTGATGATTTATTACAACACAATCCCTTCACCTTCTAAAAGCCATGTGTCTGGACGTGGTGACGTGTATTTGTTCTGAATCTCACTCATTTTCTCTCTTTCGTTAACGTTAGAGATCATGGTGGGTTTCTTTAAAGTGAAATACATTTATCTCCATTTACCGATTCCCGAAATATATCCGCCCTTTAGTCTTGTGTGTGCGCGCCCTAGGATGTGGGTGTACGCGTGTGTGTGTTTTTGGTGTGCGTGTTCCGGCTGAGTGTGTGTAATTCAATATGTAACCAGGAGAGAGGTGATTCACTAGTAGGATCAATATTCTTCCTACGAGCGATTTCGGGGGTTGACATTAGTCCCGGCTTAATAATAATCCAAACTCACTGGTTCACTTAACTGCTATTAGGCTAAGGTCAATTTTACGTTCCGATGTATTAATATTCAAGTGCGCAATCCATTAACCAATCAGGAAAATGCAAGCCCGGTGCCTATAAATATCTTGAAGGCAATAAACAGTTTGTGAACGAGGATAATGTTTTTTTTTTAATTGACTTAGACTCTTTATTCGAAAGAAATTATGATCATATTATGTGATAAACCCTCCCCCTGTATACTGTACCTATATCAATTGGAAAGCACGTTTATCATATCATAAGTTCAGTTCATATTCCGGGCAGATGAGTGATCAAAAACAGGGGTTTCAATAGGCACCCCGTACGGTTACAAAGCAACAAATATGGGCTACACACAGAGATTTAAATCTGCTCTTTTAATGTTCGAGGGTGTTAAAGGTACACCTTCACAAGATTCAAAGTTGCACCGGCCATAAGGCTCGTTGAGATATGAATCGGTAAACTGCCACAAAATAAAACGCCGCGGTTTTCTTTTACGTGTAAATGAATGGGGCAATTGGGCGCAAGAAAATACGGAAATGTGAAAGGTATAACACTTTACGTCATCATGAAAAGCCGCATCGGTTTGTTCATAAAAAGCGCGGTAAACTGCCGCAAATAAAGCCGCCGCTGGTTATTTTTTAAATGTGTAAAAATAGTGCAACTGAGCCCCCCAAAAGGTCCTGCGCTTAAGTCCTTGGAGGTTAGTTGACTGGGGGTGGTTATCCGGGGGTGGATGTACAGGGGGTAGGTGTCCTAGAACACAGAAATGGGACGTATATTACACCCTACGCTATCCGAAATCGTCGCGATTTAGCCCCGTCATATCTGAACGATCGAGGCCTTATAGAAGTGTTGATATTGTTCCAGAACAAGCTACGCATTTTCACTGTGTAGGCTGCATAAAACACAACAATTTCCTTACACTAATGTATGGTAAATTCCATGATAAAGATGATACGTTGACGTGCGTGTGCTAAATATTTTACTTGTTTAAAGGTCTTAACAATACATGCGTAATGTCTGTCTTTCAGGGTGTACTTACTTCCCTTTGAATGTCCTAACTAGTTATGCCAAAAGTCTAGTTTACGACTGTTTAAAGTGTATAATTGAACTTTCAATGAGAGTGACTTCACTGAGAGTGAATTTTGTTAAAGATCTTCAAATGCTGCCATTTTCTCCATAAACAACACCACCAAAAACAATTACACAAACTATGAACATTAAACATACCCTCAGACCTCGGTTATTGGGGATGCTTGTCTGTGGCAAAGGGCAGGGGGGGAGAACAGTATAACACTAATAGGTGAACACGAAACCGAGCCTATGTGATATACAGGCGCGCCGGAAGCAGTTTGGGATGGGGGGGGGGGGGCAAACATTCCAGGGGGTTCATCGTCCAGGGGCAGTGACGTAATGAGCAAAATAAAATTGAAGTGGGGGGGGGGCAGAAGAAAAGTCTGCATCACCACCATTATTACACGTTACATGCAGGCCCCGCGGAACGTTTTTCAAAGTGGAGTATTAAAGATCAGGTAGAGCGTAAATTGGCGTGGGCTCCAGGGCCTGAGCCTCAGCAGGGGGTCAAGTAGCTGAGCCCCCGGAAGCTCAGAGGATTTAGGCATTTAATAACGGTTAGATGAGCATCCAGGGGCCGCCTTAGGGCCCTTGCTGGGTCCAGGGGGCACAGCCGGGGTTTTAGGCATTTAATTACGGTCAGATGAGCACATTTTGATACCTCATTTGTGACATTGGCAGGTCACATATTTTTTCTTTCTCTTTCTTTCTTTCTTTTTCTCTGTAACATACTTTTTCAAAAAGTGACGGGGGCTTCTAAAGGCTTCTAAATAAGCATTTTTTGTTTTGCCCGACTGTAAATTTGGACATTTCTAATTTTTCAACAAAAGCATAACAAGTTATGACTTACACAAAAATTGAGAAAAAAATACATTTGTAAATCACTGGTATCAAATAACAAATACCCCCCCCCCCCCCCCCATAAGTACGAGAGCGTTCAGGGGCTCGTGTATTCTCACCCCTATAACAAAAAACAGACACGCATTCCCATTCTATATGCGCGTATCGCTATCATAAAAAACCTACATTGATAAAATAATATAGGTGGCATGCGCAATGTTTAAGAAATTTAATTCCTGTTAACTTTCCCTTCCTTTGAATGGAATTTTATATGTGATATAATTCAGGTTTTTATTATTGTTATGTTCTTTTGGGTTAAAAAAAAAAATATATATTTTTTTTTTAGGGGGGGGGGGTCGTTCTTTTTTTTTGTTAGGGGGGGCAAAAATGCGTTTTGCCCCCCCCCCCCACTTTTTTGGTTGGGGGGGGGGGGCAACTGCCCCTCACTTCCGGTGCCTATGATGATATAAATGTTGAAATAACCTTCACAATTTATATACTCTGAAATTTGAGCTACAAAAAACCGACAAGAGAGCGCATAGGATAATTGCAGGAAATAATCATTCACAAGGTGGTTTTTCTACGAATTCTGTCCGTTTTTAAAATATTTTTTATTCTTCAAGCATTTTTGTCCTCGCCCTTTAAATATATCCCTCATAATTATAGATCACGCGACCCCCGAAAATAACACCCGTCGAAAGGGTAAGAATGAAGATTTGTGCAAATATGAATTCGAAACCCAAACTAAATAAATATACCTAACATTCAAATACTACAACTGCATAACCACAGACAATAAACCTGTACAATTGTGAGATATTTATGACATCAAATAGGTCAAATTAGTCAAATTCATGACATCAAATAGGTCAAATTATTTTTACACGTTTTTTTCCCGGGGCCGGACCCCCCCCCCCCCAGGCCCCCCCCCCCTGGATCCGCCACTGCAATATACGCTGAAATTTGAGCTACAACAAACTCACGCGACCCCCGAAAATAACACCCATCGAAAGGGTAGGAATAAAGAGTTGTGCAAATATTAATTCGAAACCCAAACTAAACAAATATATCTAACACTCAAATAATACAACTGCATAACCACAGACAATAAACCTGTACAATTGTGAGATATTTATGACATCCTTCTAGATGTTCCAAATAAAAGGCAACCTATTCTTAACCTATTCTAAAAGGCAAAGACTGTCTCTTATGTTAGCGTTGAGGGTGTGTTATTTTCTCACACGGAAACGGTCATTGTGCTACTTTTAGAGACCAATTAAAACCAATTGAATATGTTAAGTATTGGCTGAGATATTGCATATAGACAAACGGACAGAGGAATGTAGAAAACAGCCTTTCAAATCATGATTTCATGATGTGCTCTTTTGTCGGTTCAAGGCTGAACGGGGGGTGGGGGGTGGGGTGGGGAGTGAACACTCATTTTCCCCCTCAACATCCACCCCCCCCCTCCCCTTGAGCAAAAAAAAAAATGGTTTACTTTTGGGGGCAGGGAGCCATAATAAAACACAGATAAAGGGTGTCCTACAATTCTAAAACACCCCCCCCCCCCCCCTGGCAAAAGGGGGGGTGTTCTAGAATTTTAAAGACACCCTTTATAATTGTGTTCTATGTTTGAACACCCCCCCCCCCCTCCCCCCTTGATACGCCAATGTGTGAGAGTAAACAGCAACCCTTCAGATCAGCTCGAAATGGTGGTGGTCATTATTTAGGTTAATAAAGATAGGTTTTGTAAACATCAAAATATAATGTCTTACTCCTGTTGCCGGTACCGTCAGCCGACACGTGTACATTTTGATTGTACGATTTGGAGACACCATGACCCCCATTATTGGTGGCTAGCTTCATCCATATTGGTCTCGTGCTTTGAATGAAGGAGCGGAAGCTAACCAGCCAGCGCTAGCGCATTGCAATATTGGACTATGAATAGTGTATATAGCTCGGCATGTAGGCACCTGATTAATTGAGCTCCGATATCGACATTACTACAAGTAGAACATGGCGGGTTGCCGAAGGGAAGATCTTAAATGGGTAAGTTTCATGTTCTCTTTGAATCGTAAACTGCTATTCTTGTCCGTACGTCACCGACCACCTGACCATATGATGTTAGGGTCATTTGATTATTTGAAAAGGAGTGAACTGCTGATTATCTTCATAGATTAATGACATATAGGGGTTCTTCTTCGAAAGTCTAGTGCCCTAGTGGCCTATATGTTTCCCCTCCACATTTGTATTTAATGTTATCCTTTGTTTTCGAGTTGGCCTATGAATTTTTATGATTTAGCCTAATCATGTAATATAATTTTAGTATTGTTAAATGTTATAGATCTAGACCTAGTTGCATCTTTTTAGGCCACTTTTTATAATGATTGCTGCTTTTTGTGATACATTTTTTGTTATTGTGATTAGGGTTGAGGAAAATAAACTTAAACTTGAAGATACGTTTTCACAGGATCAACGCGATTTTTACCGGGGCATTTCGCTGATCCTCAATATACTTCGACTAAATCTAGACGTCATTTCGTACGTGTGCATCAACTATTTGTCAGCATCAGCAAACAGAGATTTTTCTCCATTTACTACCGGCGCGTGACCCTATTTAAATGGGGAATTCCCGAATGTACAATGTCATGCGGACGCGAGATGGCGCAAGGCCATGTGAATGAATTTATTGGACATAATGGAATTGGGACTTCTTCCGTAAATATGAAAAAAGGGTCATTTATACATTTGATCCTTGCATTATGATGTTTTCGCTGTTTTCGTTCATTGATGATTAAACCAACCAGTAAAATGTGAATATAGTCTACCCTGTATTCATTTTCATTATGGCTCTTAGGAAAGTTATTTGGTTGTCTCGTATGTTCTTGTTTTTATTGTAAAATACAGAATCATTATAATGATCACAAAACTTCAATATTCAGAGGACTCAGGCCTGACAGACATAGGAAAAAGAAAGATATACATGTACTAACTAACCTATGAGAGAGAGAGAGAGAGAGAGAGTGAGAGAAAGAGAAGGAGAGAGAAAAGGAGCTGGGAGAGGGAGGGGTATGCATACGACATATATTTTAGACACATTTAGCAATAGTAGGCTTACATTGGAAACATGCATGCATTTATAAGATTTGTTGTAAATCATCCCGGAGATTTTGTTGAGCAGACTTTTCTCTTTGAGACATATTCTGAAATATGCATAACGTGTTCCTTTTTTCAGGCATATAAATTTACGTAATGCGACATTAATTTGTTTTCTCTTATACTTGCATTTCAATATTTGTAGTATCTTGCTATTATGTACTATTTATTTTATGTCTAAAGACACATGGATTGAAGAAAAAAAAGAACGGGGTATACAGTGTATATACATGTATTTAGTTAATCTTTTGTTCCTGGCATCTATATTATTGTTGTTTTGCTTTCACTGTTTTCTTGAGTTTGTCTTTGCTAAATAAAATACTACTACTTCTACTGATGATAAGATAAATGATAATAATATTACTAATGATATAAATAATAATATAGATAATGATATCAAAAGTAATGATAGTAATAATAGTAAAGATGATAATGATAATGACTGTCACATGGTAACTTAAAATAATTGCAATTATATTCTACATACTAAGAATCTTGCTCTACGATTGGTCAAAAGTAAATCACGTGATGAAAGATAGTTCGCCCATTATTGATGGGAGAAGCAAAAAGTTCGTTACACTGTGTAGATAGTACTACTATCTACACAGTGCAATGCACTTTCACTAAAGATAGAGGTACTATCTACAGGGCAACGCACTTTCACAAGATTATCCAAAAGCGCACTAAAACAGGCGTAATTTAGCGCGCATTAGGCCTACCATTGAGCGCAATTAAAGAAAACACATGCGCGCACCGTACCCTCAAGGGGTTGGGTTAAACTTAAACTTTTTTGGTGTGAATTTGGGCATACACCCAAATTTGGGCATTAAATGCATACACGTCCTTTTCTTTGTGTAGTTAAAAAGTTTTAGATGTGGAATATAAAGCAAATAATCACCTTTTGGTTTCAGGCGATGGCAAACGATCACTTCCTCGTCGATCAGGATGTATACGCTATCTTTCCTCAGCTTCGCTTCGGAAAGATAGCTACATACAGATCGGAAGTGATAGTTTGTCCCATCACCTTCACCAACGGTAATTATTTGCTTACTACACACATGCCATTTACCATACTGCTATACCCTCACTTTATTCTGAAAATAAAACATTTACACCAGTCCCTGCTTTAAGAAAAGATAATAAGTTATGATATTTAAACACTAATACAAACAACCTTGGCACATTACATTCCTTATGAGCAATACAAACAAACTCTCAACATACATTAGGATTTTCAAACTGTCTAATATATCACTTCGCATCCTGTGTTCTTTAAACCTGTACAGACCCGAAGTAGATACACATCTCAATATCCAAAACTCTGTTCCTTCTTAGTATAATTTCTTTTCAATCCAATGCTTCTTTTGTTTCATATCAAAAGAAACCACAAATGTTGTACATTACGAAAGAAACAACAACAAAATTACCAACATCATTTTCAAAATAGAATTTAAGTCTACTCTGCTTCATGCAGAGAGCCCTCAATATAAGGCATGACTTCCATTAAATTATGTTCAATTCAGTTTCGCTTGTAGTTATAACTCATGTCGTCTTCACTGCTTTTCCAGGATTTCTTTCAAAAGTTTCTTTTGTAGTAAAAATCAATATGGTATGTCCCAAAGTCATTGCGGAAGACGCTGGAAAAAATGTCCGTTCGTATTGGTGAAAGGTAGAGCTCCACTTTACAGCCCCCTAAAACCTCTGGCTCTTGGTTCTCGAGGACGGACGTGGTTTTATAAACATCATGTGTTATCTAATCATAAGAATTCATGTATACTTTTTCTAGCCTGTGCACAAACACTTCACATTAAATTAACATGTATATACTCATTCATTTTATTCCATTAGAACGACTGAAATTAAACAAACTTTCACAATCCAGAACTACAAAATGTATATCCTTCCATTTCCATTTTTAGAGGACAAAACACTAAATCAAACTTCATTATTTTCACAGAGTTAACACTAAATTTCATAGCTTCATTTCCCTCACATATGCAATTTCACCATACAAGAATAACCAAGTGATATAATGTAAGTTGTTACTTTCAAATCACTTACCGATGGCTGCAGTAATACAAAACTAAAATATATCAGCCAATTTTGCTAACGAAAACCGCCTGGCTCTTGACTTTAAGAGAAAGTCAGCAATTTGTGTCCAGGAAGAAAATTATAAGAAAACCAGCAATGTCCGCAGAGCGAGCCAAATCCTGACCTGTATGCCTCTTGGCTTTAAAATCGAGATGTGGCAAAGTCTCAGACTGTACCCACGCTAACCCTCTAGACATCATGTACAGAACCTGAAATACGTGCTTAGTCATACTTTTCTATTTATCAACATAATACAGGGTCAACACAATAATCCCTGGCATAGCTGAATTAATCAACTCTCTACCATCAATGGCACATTTCAGACCTTCACTCTCCCTATTTCTTCACTTCAACACTCAGTACCAACTTATCTAATATATTTCTTTCTTCGATTAAACATTTATCTCTCTCAAGTGAGATACAAAGACAAATACACAAATATGAAATAAATGAAATAAATATGTATTTGCTTTTTCAAAGAGACAATGACGAAAATAATAAGAAAACAATGAAGTAGTAGGCCTTGTCGTAATAATATTAATAATTATAATGATATTTATCATAATAGTAGTAATGATAAAAATAAGAATGTTTTCTCCAATAGCAGGCAGCCATCAGAGGGGGAAATTCATCTGCCACTCAGCTTCCACAAAACCTCGACGTTAAAGAAGCCGATAAACCTCATATCACCCAAACTCTCCTAATGAGGGCTGGAGATGTGGAATCCAACCCTGGACCGAAAACCAAACATTCGTAAGTAATACTGATTATATTTCCATGTATTTGAAATATAATGATATTTTAACTTTTTATTCTTCTTATTCATGTTGATGTTGCTGATGTTCGTATTCTTGTTCTTCTGTTTTTGTTCTTGTTGATGTTGTTGTTCTTCTTCTCCTACTACTACTTCTTCTTTTTCTTCCTCATCTTCTTTGTCTTCTTGTCCGGCTTCGTCTTCTTCTGCTACGTCTTCTTCAACACCTTCCTCTTCCTCTGACTGTACTCTTCTAGTAATATTCTAAAGGCTCTGCAGCATTGTCACTAAGATGACATACGGCTACAAGTAATACAAGGATCATTAATGGAATTCGTTGAGCATCACATACAAATATAACATGTCTTCCATGTACTTCCTGAATTTTCTGAGGATTGCGGTATAAACCAAGATGATAATTATGATAACACTTTGGACCAGAATTGGTGCTTCTTGTTTGTCTTATTACATATTTGCATACATGTATCTATGTTAAAAGGCTTTTACTGTGTGTGATTCTTAGTAAGATATGGTCAATTTGTAAAATTGTAACTCGTATTGAGGCCTCTTCACTACCTAATCAACCATTAGTGTAAATAGAATAGTACAATACTCAGTTTACAAACTGAATAAAGTTATCGACATTTCTCTGAAGGAGTCATTCCGAACGGGAAGAGGATTTTGATGACATCTTGAAAGACGTTGCATGTTTCATCCGAGGCAACATGGCTATAGATACTCTCGGCAAGGCCCTTGGTTTTGATCCGGCCGAAATCGAGAGGTACATAGCCACAAACACCCGTTACCAGCATGTGACGTATGATGGTACATTGAAGATGCTCCGCGATTGGCGAGATAACCAGACAGAGGCGGAAGGACGACCAGCTCTTGCAGATGCTTTGAAGCTGGCACGGCTTGAACGACTTGCAGATATGTTCTTGGGGATTTCTAAGGTTCCAGATCTGCAAACCGGTGAGTTCTCTTAAAGAAAAATGTGTGTTATTTCGTCAAATTCTTGGGGGAAAATGGCCCCTTACAACACTTTTTCAATGCAATCATCTTGCCATACAAATGAAATTACATATAAAGTTTAACATATAATTATGTAGCCAAAATTGTAGGAGCCATTTTCCAGAATTTGGTATTTTCACTTGACATGTTAGTGAAATCATATATGTCTAAGAAAAACAGTCCATTGTTTTCCTATCAATAAGGTTTCAGGAAATTACGATCATGAGGAAGGTCAAGCATCCACCACTACTTTGATTTTCAAAAGTCTGACTTTTATAAGGAATTTAGGAAAGTAGTAAACTCTTCATTTGCCTTCAGTGCCAATTTTCACTCGTTGCAGAATGTACATTGTACAATGTGGCACTGGGAGATTATCTGTCTGGCGTGAGATATATGTTGCCACGATCAGCCATGCATCAAATCTTTCGTCTTCTTTGTGAATGTATCAAGTCTTTCATCTTCTTTGTGAATGAATGATAGTCAATGAAACGGAGTTAACTCTTTTGTCAAATTTTTTTGTTGCTACGGCAGGGAATCAAGTGGTAACGAATTCGTTTAATCAAATTATGGAAATGCAAGCATTACTTTAAACAAACAGAACTTTGTTATTCCTGGCTCACTTTTCCTGATTGAGGTGTCATGTGAAAGGGCAGAAAATAAACGTTCTAGAAATGTGATTTTCTTTTTGAAATTCAGATGCCGTCCGCCAAATGACTTTTTGGTACACTATCTTCAAATTGTTTTTAATCACTCATGCGTGAAATATGGATCGTATGATTTGCATCTAAGCTTCACAAACATGTGTCAATTATTAATTATAATTGTGATTAAGTTATGATAAAAACATCAATAATTCTCGGTTTTTATTTTTCTGAGACGCACTGCATGAAGATTCAGAGAAACAATATTCGATTTCTTTTTCTTATTTCCATTTCTTTATAGCTTCTGATGATATTTCACTAGAAGATGACCTATTGGAGAGTGTTGTGAATGACATTATGAAGTACTACATCTTCAATATGTGTACCATTCAAGCAGACCCAACCAATAATGACGTAATGTTCGAGTTCGACCATATCTACACCAATCCAACGTTGCTCGAAGAAGATAGAAATGACAAGAAGATCAGGAAACAGCTGCTCTTTCGCAACCTCCTCAAGACAAAAATCAACGGACTTTTTCCGAATCGAATACTAGTACAAGCTGAAGGTGGAGCAGGAAAGACGACGTTCTGTGCTAAGATAGCTTGGGATTGGGTTTTTGGTCTTGGCTTCCAGCAGTTCAAGTTAGTTGCTGTGATTCCCCTCCGCAAGGCTAAGGACAAGACAGTTGGTGAAGTTATCAAATCCTACCTATCTGACAACAATCCGGTTACAGCAGCGCAGATAGATAGCTACATCCTGTCCAATCCGAAACGCGTCTTGTTGGTGCTTGATAGTTTAGACGAACTTGCTGCAAAGTTTTCAGACCTTCATCAAATCGTTCAAATCATTCTCAACCGGCTGTTCATATCCGGAACGGTCTTGGTAACATCACGAAAGTCGAGGGTGGATGAAATCCGCAGCATCACTGAACTCAAGAAGGTCTATGCGTTCATATACCTAGAAGGGTTCTCAGTCGACAATGTTGCTGCGTACATCACGAAGTTCTTTAACCAAGACGCAACTCCCTCCCAAGAACTGATTGATTTCATCACCACCAACGATGTCATTGCCCAAAACATGGCACCTTTCCCGATCTACATTGCTATGCTGTGCATCATGTGGAGGGAGTACGACGGAGAAAGACGAGAGGCAATGTCTAAGTTGAAGACATTTTCGCAGCTGTTTGAAGAGATGGTCGACTTTCTGATAGACCATTGTGGATCCAAGGATGATTCCCAGACGGTTCCCACTGTGCTGGAGCTCCGTCAGATGATTCCCAATCATCTAATTGAGATTGGTGAAATTGCCTTTCAGGGGATTAAAGATAAATGTCTAGAGTTTCCTGAAGACACCTTTCAGAGTTGCAGAGAATCTATGGAAATCGGCTGCAAAGTTGGGGTCCTGACAAGAGAAAAGCATGCTACCCCGAGACGTGACAGACGGAAGAACCCTTGCTTACAAATGTCCATGGTGCAGTTTCCCCACAAGCTCTTCCAAGAATTTATGGCGGCCAAGTATGTGGCATCACTGCATTGTTCAGATGACGGCAGATATGAGAGGATCATGGCTGAAATCATTGAAAAGAAGGAGGAGTTTCGTTATCTACTGTATTTCACGTCTGCTCAAGGGAGTGAGCATGGCCTGGACATTGTGACGCGTCTCATACTGATTGTCCAAAGAGAGGTCTCCTTTGTTGGAAAACGCATTGATGAATATTCCCTAGATAGGGAATGGCGTTTCATCGTTGATGTAGCGTATGAGAGCCAACACCAATCAGTGGCCAAGAAAGTGGGGAATCAATTCATGATAAGTAAGAAAACCTTGCATATTCAGCATAGTTGGTCAGCACATACGATATCCGGATTGCTGTACATCAAGGACCATCTGGGTGAAGTGGTAATACAACTTTCCTCTCCATTCTTAGGCAAAGAGTACCTAAAACCTAATGTACATCTCATTGTATATCACAACAGTCCAAAGTTAGAATGATCTAGCTGACAAAGGCTCCAAATCTAATCACCCCCACTCCCCCAGTTTCTATATTTTCCTCATTATGTACGACAGAGGGTACTATACATGGACTACAGCATATAATGTCATCATTCTATTTTTAATCTAATTATAGGGGTGATGTTAAATGCTGAAATATGGCGCAATTTTTTTTCTCTCAATTAAATTTCTAGAATCCATTATAAAAAAATTGAATGTTATGGCGTGGTTGCAGCAAATTTCAGATGCACAAAAAACAATATTCTCTTTTTTCAAACCGCTTTAAAGTATTTCACAGTGTATTTCATTGGTGCTTAGCTACGATGATATAATAACACTCATGTGTTGAGGCCCACATCGTCATACATTTCATAATCAACAAACTATGCACTACCAGAAATGTTAACACATATCACGTTTCTTCTAAGCTGAACAAAGTCATCGAGGTCATCAGCAGCTTCGATGTCCATTATCACATATTGTATGTGTCACAGCACTGGTTCCTAATATGTCTCTATCGCGTCATAGAATTGTTTATTTCTCTACCTTGCAGGATTCCCTTGTCTTGCATAAGGAATGTGGCCGCATAGCTTCGCAGGACCTAGTAGAATTCATCCTGTCATCGGCATCACTGAGAACCATGAGGATTGGCGGACCCATTACTTCTGCCTTCTCACTTCCCATGCCTTCTGACATGATACCAAAGCATGCTGCCTTCTACTCAATCCTTGCTGATAAGGTACAGCAATGTCAGGTAGGTTCATTAATCTTATAACAAAATGCTCGTATCAATATTTTACTATGAATAGTGTGATTTTGGTGTTTGGTTGGTACAACCTACATACAATGCATTTGCCTTTAAATGTGACAGTTGAATAGAAGAGTTTAAGTATTTCCCTCCGTCCACTAGCTAGTTCATAAAAGACTAACAAAGATAAAAACAATGAAAATCCATATATTTGAATAACATTTTTATTAATGTAGAACATGAATAAATAAATAAATTTACCATATCTTTGAAGAAATATTATTTTCTGAATGGATTGTATATTTAATATTAAAATATTTTAATTTCCACGGCAGATTCAGAACCTGACGATTTACTACGCCAGCCTCCACTCCCAGCGACAGACATCACGTGACCTGGCAGAGTTCATCTGTCAGATTCCTCACTTAGAGAGTTTGGAATTGCGCGAGAATAAGCTACACAAAGACTTCTTTTCGAAATGGGCATCGACTATATCGTCGGCAAAGGTATGTCATAATAAGCCAATTCGGAGATGTTCATGGTCAGACATATGTCATTTGGACAAAACTCTAAAACCCATCGGGACGACTGCCGGATACATGTTTATAGAAGTTATTCATTTATGCACCGACGCTAAATTCTATTGGAAACAGGTGGGAGGATTTTTTTTTCAAGAGGGGATAATGAAGCACCTCGATCACTCTGGCAGTGATTATTCTAAAATGCACAACGTGAAAATATCTGTGTATATTTAGGGGTCATTAGAAGTGGCTTATAAACTACAATATCCTGAGCGAATCAAATATAACATTACAACAGTTATATTTTTAACAATCCTAACATGGCTCTCGTTTTTAATCCTTTTTCTTCTCCTTATTTCAGGATTATACTAAACACTTGGGTCACGGCCTAGCTGGACCAATTTGTTTGTAATGGTGTCTTCAAATTGGATTTATAAGGGAAAAAAGTTATTGAAGAAGAGATTTAAAATTATTTATGTATATCTTTATCTTTGATTCTTCTACCATCCATTTCTTGAATTCCTTCTGCCACAACGTCTTAATCATATTTTTGTCCTCTGTCGTAGTTTATATGTTTTTAATATTTTTTGTCCTTTCATTCCCTCTTCATTTTTAGTTTTTTTTGTATTCCATCATGTAATCTTTACGATATTCTTTCTTGGTTTCCCCTATCATCTTATGATTTATTTTGCCATTTGTTTTTATCGTTCTTCTACATCTTTAATTCTTTCACTTCCTTCAGTTTCCCCCTTCATTCCTCTCTTTTTTTTCTTTGCCTACAATGTAATTCTTTATTTTCTGCAATTCATCTTTCCCCATCTGTATGTACTTCCAACTTCTTTTTAAAGTAAATTTCCCCACGCACCCCATTGAAAATTGTTAAAAAACAGTCGCTAATTTAAAATAAGATTTTCACAGCGTGTAGGGCCGATTGAAGACACTGTTACAACAAAATGCAACAGTTATTCATCGCCTCCGCTTTGGGGTCATTGTACTTAATCAGGATCTCCTCAGATTGAGAATTCATGCTACTGGTCTTTGTAATAGATGCCATGAAATAGAGACAGTAAAACACTTTTTAGTATATTGCCCTAACTATATTATAGAAAGGGCTATGTTTTTAACAGAAATAAACGAATCTCAACCGGAAAAAATAATGGAATACTTAAAAAAAGAGTGAGTCCAGCATACAAAAAGCTGTTGTACGGTTCGTTCTCAGAACGAAACGGTTTCCTATCAGGAAGTAATACCTCCCTTGTATAGAGAACAATGAACAGTAAAACATAATACAATATTATAAATATGCTAAACCCATAAACCTATAAATGTATCCAGTACATTAAAAATATAACATCATAATGTAATAAGAAAAGAAAAAAAGAACAGTAAAACATAATACAATAATATAATATGCTAAATTACACTCATTACATTAAAAATATAGTAACATAATGTAATAAGAAATAAAATAAGAACAGTAAAACATAATACAATATTATAAATATGCTAAATTACACTCAGTACATTAAAATGTAATAACATAATGTAATAAGAAAAGAAAATAAGAAAAAGTAACAACAATGATAAATGGTAGGATAAGATTATTGAACATAGAGGCTTGTGTAGGTACTATCTTATTTATTTATGTTGTGTATGTGATATAACAAATAATCTGCACGTACTGTTAAGAAACACTAACAAAGCCCATGAATGTTTTGCTTACGATATTGTTTTTCGATACTATCTTAAAAGATAGATAAATATAAAACGAAATGAAAATATTTAACAAAATATTAAAAAACTAATACAAAAATGAGAGATATAACACGTGACGTAAAATATTTTGACGACAATAGTCAAATTACTGACTAATCGCCAATAAGCCAAAACACACCAACAACAACAACAACATTGGCCCAGCAAGCCGTGACCCGAGTGTTTTCCCGCGCGCCGCAACCCGAGTGTTTAGTTCAAGCCTTATTTAATCCTTCTTCCAACATTAATTCCTCTTTGAACATGTGGATAAGGGTATAACTCTTTCTTCCAAAAGGGTGTCAGTGTTTAGATATCCGTTATACACTGCTGCTAATAGAGTTGGAATAATTATTTCTTACCCCATTTCATGAAATGATTGTGAAAATATGATTTGTTCTTGATAGATGAATTATTCTATATTTTCTCCAGACTTAGAATGAACAATAAAGCGCTGAGGAGAGAATTTATCTACGAAAAAAAATCAAAATGTCACAAATAATTTCATGAAAATAAGTAAAACCAAAAAAAAGGTTCATAAGTTTTGTTGTATGTACATAGTATATGGATACACACATTAAACATATAGACTCATACAAAAAGACAAATTCAATAAAATAATTTCACAGAAAACAAAAACAAAAACAATAAATAATGAAACAAAGATATAGTCATTTATCAAAAACAATATACATGTATACCAAGTGAGGTAGAAAGATAATTGTTTAAAGGTAACAATAACGTATTGTAGTATTATAATTGCTTTATAGTCTCATTTATTATTATTATTAATATTATCACCATCGTTATTATATTTTATTATAGTCATCAGTATCACCCACATTCAACAACATATGTTTATCACGTCCATCGGTAACAATAATTCTAGAAGCACCAGAAATTTTCAGAACCGCTTTTCCGTGGAAAGCATTACCCATCCCTCCATCAATTACACCATGCCTGCCGTTGAAAAATGTAATAATATTAATAATAGTTGGTTCTTGTAATGCGCTCATGTCAGTCAGATTAAACCCTCCTGGCGCTCTTGGGTGGAGTGTGGCAAATGTAGATCAATGTCTTGCCAAAGGACATTAGTGCGGCGGCGGGACTCGAACCTCGGACCTTGTGATCGACAGTCCGGCGACGTATCCACTCGACCACAACACCTCTACCTATTTAAGACATAAAAACATGAATCAAGAGAGCAGCCCCTACCCCCCCCCCCCCCTCCACCCCTCCACCCCTGATTATTATTTAGGAGCGGTTTTGCCTATTGTACTATCCTAGTGTACCGTCCTATGTTTGTCATTGTACTATCCTATTTCGATATACATCTCTAAAGTTTAATTTGTGGCCTATTATCTTCTCGGCCTGTCTGATGATTCTATTCAGCATAGTGACTAGTGAGGTCTTCCAACTTTATTGACAACAGTGTGTACAATATAAATTATAAAAGGGCTTGTTCATATTTCTATTGATTTAGGGTAATATTCAGAGCACAACACCTCATACCTCTCTGCGTGAGTTGAGAGTAGACAACGACATGGTGATAGAATTGCTGTCATGTGGTGACATGTTTGACAGTGTGGAGAAGCTATCTATCTACATCTCGCGTAAATTCGGGTTTGACTTCATCAAAAGGTAATGGATTTCTTTCTTTCTTTTAGACTGATACATGTCCATTTGTTTGTGTATATTCATATTTTCATGTTATGCCCCCCCCCCCCGTCTCTGTCTCTCTGTCTCTATAATGGGTGTGTGTGTGTCAGTGAAAAGAAAATAATGAAGCAACCGTGGAGGATTTAAAATTGTACACTTATATATGCATATCTATGTGTGTGTTCATATATATATATATATATATATATGTAGAGAGACAGAGAGAGAAAGAGAGAGATACACGAACAGACGATAGTAATAACGAACACACTAATCCAGTTGCATTCTCTCCCTTATTCCCCTTTCTCTATTCAACCCATGTCGGTCCTTCTTAGCCTTCATAACATAATATTTGAATTGCCATATTGAAAGTTTTATTCAACTTTATGAATGAGATTATATGTAAATTAAATTAGTTTGGTCGTTAATGATCAAGTGGCAAGTTTAGAATTTGTGCAAGATGGATATTCAATACTTGATGATTTATTTATCTTAATTAGACAAAATTAATTAATTAAATCTTTTTCATGTAAATGGCTGCTCAGGTAGGCCAGTTTCCAGGTCATAGCCTATTGTATTGCCCCTAAAATTCCCTATTTCATGTTTTGTTTCAGGATATATGTTATAAAGCACATGTGGGACCCCAACATGTCGATATCTTTGCATGTCCACTTGTTCAAATCAACTGGTATATACATAGAGCTTCATATTTTAGATATTCTCATTACTTTCTTTTCTTATAATATCCGACACCTTCGAACATCAATAACAAAAGGATGCATGGGTTCCAAGGAGTTACAGAGCTATCCATCGATGGCAGACCCACTCACAATCCTTACCCGGTCAAAGATGTGCCCATCACAATGATCAAGAACCTCGAGAGGGTCTTTCCTCAACTAGTCAAGCTGACATTCAGAATTCCCCTGGGCATTGCAATCGTCAAACAGATCTTGGAATCACAGAGAGAGACTCGAGTCCTCAGAGAACTGAAGAGCGTAAGGTGAGGTTGTGTTTCTATTTTGTTATACCATGCTACGCATTATAATAGTCCTTTCCTACCACTAACCTATCCTCTCTCAACTGCTCTTTCATCCCAGCCCCTTTCTCTCCCTCTCTCTCTCTCTCTCTCTCTATGTCTCTCTTACACGCACACACACACACACACATACACATCTACTTTCTTTCTTTCTCTCTCTCTCTCTTTCTATTCCACTATAAACATACTGTATTTCATGCCATGCATATAAAGTATTCCCACATTTTTCTCCCCTACTCTTTTCCCCAGAATCTTATTATACCAGCTCTCACTCTATATCTTTTTTTAAAAGTGCGATGTCTTATACTTTGTCTTATGATTATCTAGATATAACATTTAAATAAATCCCCATGATTTGGTTAATTGTAGGTAAGACAAATGAATCAGAAATTTTCAACTAAAACAATGAACCATACACATGAGGAACACAATAGAAACTGAACAAAAAATGTTAGAGAGGAAGCTGGCAGCAACATACATTTCAACAAAGAGAGAGAGAAAACAAATTGATTGGGAAAGGGAGTGGATAGTGATTAAGTATCCTGCAAATGGGTAGTATTCAATTCAGTTCACTTCAACATTTACTGCTCATAGAAATCAATAGTTTGCCATTTCCATCATTCTTAAACTTATGTGAAATTGCGATGAAGACACAACAACGTCTAAGCAACTTAACTAGAATCACTTACAAGACTATATTTATCTCACAGAGTTCTGACGATTCGGTTGTCTAAGATGGATGATGACTGGGACGAACTGCTTGCCCTCAGAGACAAAATCAACAACGAGAAGGTCTTCAGAGTAGAGGTGGAGAGTGTGCTGTAAGCTATAAATATATAATATACACTCACGAAAGCTTTGGCAATGATTGGTATAATTTGAAGGGGCAGAAAGTAGATACCATTCTTAGCCCGTAAAAAAACTATAAAAGCTCGGACTGGAGTCCATGGAAAATGAATGTTGAATCTGGAAAAAGGAGAACAGCCATTAAAGAGCCCTCGAAAACCTTGGCCTGTATTTTGAAAACAATGTTTTTATATTTTATGGAACTGAAGTTGTGTTATTGTCAAAAAGGAAATTGCCCTGAATAGAGACACTTCTCATCGGTATTGACGCAGATGTGCCTTAAGTATTGATCCTGTCGTGTGTAATTGTACTGTATTCATGTTCGTGTGTACATTGACTGTATATTCAACAATGATGTGTAATCGTCCATGACCTAACATCGTTTTGCCATCCATGAATGAACCTGCATTTAATCAGTAGATGTACGAGATTTATTGTGTTATTACCAACGCTCCTTCTCTCCCCTTTCCTTTTCTTCTCTGCGAGTCAGTCTTTTCTATTTGTATTTGTTATTGTTGTTGTAAATAAGTTGAGGGCTGCGGGCACGTCAAGCTACTTTGCTTATTTCTGTAGCCCTCCTGCATCTAATGTATGTTAACTATGCATTCAATATATTTGAACTATGCATTCAATATATTTGTTTAAATTCGTTTATCTGTATAAAATTATATACACTTAAAATATTGTATCACACCATATTATGTTCATAAAAATGTATGATGAAAAAAGAAAAAAAGATGCAGAAACCAATAAATCAAATCAAATCAAATCAAATCAAATCAATAAAATAAAAACTGCATGAATACGCAGCCAGGTTTGCGCAGAAATTCACCAAGGAATTGCCATTTGTTTTTATCGTTCTTCTACATCTTTAATTCTTTCTCTTCCTTCAGTTTCCCCCTTCATTCCTCTGTTCTTTTTTTTGCCTACAATTTAATTTTTTATTTTCTGCAATTCATCTTTCCCCATCTGTATGTACTTCCAACTTCTTTTTAAAGTAAATTTCCCCACGCACCCCCATTGAAAAATTGTTAAAAAACAGTCGCTATTTTAAGATAAGATTTTCCCAGCGTGTAGGGCGGATTTAAGACACCATTACAACAAAATTGGCCCAGCAAGCCGTGACCCAAGTGTTTTCCAGCGCGCCGCAACCCGGGTGTTTAGTTCAAGCCTTATTTAATCCTTCTTCCAACATTAATCCCTCTTTGAACATGTGGATACGGATAACTCTTTCTTCTTAAATGGTGTCAGTGTTTAGATACCCGTTATATTCTGCTGCTCATAGAGTTGGAATAATTATTTCTTACCCCATTTCATGAAATGATTGTGACAATATGATTTGATCTTGATAGATGTATTATTCTATATTTTATCCGAACTTAGAATGAACAATAAAGCGCTGAGGAGATAATTTATCTACGAAAAAAAAAATCAAAATGTCACAAATAATTTCATGAAAATAAGTAAGAAAAAAAATACTCATAAGGTTCATAAGTTTCGTCGTATGTACATGGTATATGGATACACACATTAAACATATAAACTCATACAAAAAGACAAATTCAATAAAATAATTTTGGGTTGACAGAAAACAAAAACAAAAACATAATGAAACAAAGATATAGTCATTTATCAAAAACAATATACATGTATACCAAGTGAAGTAGAAAGATGATAATTGTTTACAGGTTACAATAATGAATTGTTTTATTATAATTACGTTATAGTCTCATTTATTATTATTAATATTATCATTATTATCACCATCATTATATTATTATTATTATTATTATAACTATTATTATGTACAGGTATAATCATTGTTATTTTATTATCGTCATCAGTATTAACCACATTCAACAACAAATGTTTATCACGTCCATCGGTAACAATAATTCTATCTATAATTATAGGTGAGCACCAGAACCGGTTTTCCGTGGAAAGCATTACCCATCCCTCCATCAATTACACCAGGATCGATTTTGCCTATTGTACTATCCTAGTATACTATCCTATGTGTGTCATTGTACTATCCTATTTCGATATAGATCTCTAAAGTTTAATCTGTGATCTATTATCTTCTCGGCCTGTCTGATGATTCTATTCAGCATAGTGACTATTGAGGTCTTCCAACTTTATTGACAACAGTGTGTACAATATAAATTATAAAAGGGCTTGTTCATATTTCTATTGATGTAGGGTAATAATGAGAGCACAACACATCATACCTCTCTGCGTGAGTTGATAGTAGACATCGACATGCTGATTGAATTGCAGTCATGTGGTGACATGTTTGGCAGTGTGGAGAAGCTATCTATCTACATCTCGTGTGAATTCGGGTTTGACTTCATCAAAAGGTAATGGATTTCTTTCTTTCTTTTAGACTGATACGTGTCCATTTGTTTGCGTTTATTCATATTTTCATGTTATGCCCCCCCCCCTCGTCTCTGTCTCTCTGTCTCTATAATGGGTGTGTGTCAGTGAAAAGGAAAATAATGAAACAACCGTGGGGGGTTAAAATTGTACACATATATGCATATCTATGCGTGTGTTCATATATATATATATATATATATATGTAGAGAGAGAGAGAGAGAGAAAGAGAGAGAGATACACGAACACACGATAAATAATAACGAACACACTAATCCAGTTGCATTCTCTCCCTTATTCCCCTTTCTCTATTCAACCCATGTAGGTCCTTCTTAGCCTTCATAACATAATATTCAAATTGCCATAAGATAAATAAATGGAACACACCTACACTAATGAACACGAATGCCAGATCGTTAATCCCGAAACTTGATGAGCTATCAGTTATTTTATTAAACAAGAAAGTGGATGTTTGCTGTATTACTGAAACCTGGTGTCAATCTATTATTCCAGACTGTTCGTTAACTATTGATAATTATCACCCCCCCCCCCCCGATTTATTGTAACAGGGACCATACCACTGGTGGTGGGGTCGCGTGTTATATCCATACATCTGTGCCCTTTAGTGTGCTTTCTGAATTGTCTGAAAATCAAGTAGAATCGATATGGATCAAGATGCAACCAAAGCGCTTACCAAGACGGTTTAACCCAATCATTCTAGGTACATTGTATTCTCCGCACAACTCGAAAATTGAACATGACCAAATGTTGCATCATATTTATTCTTCCTTGGACAGTGTTTTATGCAGATACCCTAACGAAGGGATCATCCTGATGGGTGATTTCAATCATATGCCTGATGTGTATTTGAAACGGAATTACAAATTAAAACAAATAGTGAAGAAGCCTACACGTCAGGGAGCAAAACTTGATCTAATCTACACCAATATGGCTGAATACTATAATGTCCCTGAAATAGAAGCTTCTCTTGGATTATCAGATCATAAGGTTGTGATTTGTTCACCTAAGCCATCATTCTCGGCACCGTCCGCAAGGAAACGGATAATGAAAATTAGATGTATTAGTGAAAATGCCAAAGCCTTGTTCGAGTCTGACCTTCAGAAGATAAATTGGAACCCATTGTACCGAGCTTTGACATGTCTTGATAAGTATGAGATATTCGATAACTTGCTTATCTCATTGATTGAAAAACATTTCCCATTCAAGACTGTTTCGAGGGTTGAAAGCGAACGACCGTGGGTAACTGACCATTTCCGTGAATTGGTCAGTAAGCGTCAACGAGCTTTGTTTTCCAATAATTTGAGTCTATACAATTTGCTGAGGAATAAAGTCAATCGCATGAGGAAAACCTTACGCAAAAAGTACTACCAAGCTAAAGTTGATCAGATAAATAATAAGCATCATCACAACTGGTGGGAAGAAATAAAGAACCTCACTGGTCAGAAATTTTCGTACGACCCCTTATCCAACCTTTTAAATGGCGTCGCAAACGGTGACAGAAGTATTTTAGCCAACATGATCAACTCCTTCTTTGCTTCGGTCTCGGAAGACCTTCCTCCGTTAGAAGCTACTGGTACGTCATCATTCCTCGAGCATAATATTTCACCTGATGCATATATCATTCCTCCCCATGACGTAGAAAGGCAGTTGAGATATATTAACGTGAGAAAAGCACCTGGTCCAGATGGGATTCCTTCCTGGATTCTCAGAGATTTCTCCCCTATTCTAGCGGAGCCGGTTTGCTCCATTTTCAACGCTTCCATTGCCGAAGGTTTTGTACCGTCTATTTGGAAATCTGCAGATATAATTGCCTTACCCAAGACAAACCCCCCTGTTTCAATTGAGAGCGATCTGAGACCGATCTCCCTAACACCAGTGTTAGCAAAAATATTAGAAAGTTATGTGTGTAAATGGGTTTGGAATGATTATCTCCCCCATGTTGATCCAAACCAGTATGGGAACATACCAGGGTCCTCAACTGTACTTGCCTTGATCAATCTCCTTAACAATTGGTCATTTGAAACAGATGCTAAGAGAAAGGCTGTGAGGATTGTGTTGGTAGATTACAAGAAAGCTTTTGATAGGATAAATCACGATTTACTTCTTAGAAATTTGCAGGTGAATCCTACACTTGTTAACTGGATAAGAGCATTCCTCTATCAAAGAAAGCAAAGAGTTAAAATCGATCAAATAAGATCTGAGTGGCTGACAGTTAATGGGGGTGTCCCACAAGGGACTAAAATGGGACCACTGTTGTTTATAATTATGATAACGGATTTGGGTTGTAATCTTCCCGTTGTCAAATATGTTGATGACACAACATTGTATGAGATATGTCCATATGGTGAAAATGGCACGATTCAGAATACCCTCAATGAACTTGCACACTGGTCTGACTTGAATGATATGCAGATAAATCCAATGAAGACCAAGGAAATGGTTGTTTGCTTCATGAAAGACGATCCAAACTTACCATATCTTACCATCGGTGGAAATCAAGTAGAGAGGGTTCAGGAAGTTAAAGTACTCGGTTTGTACCTCAATAACAGCCTTAACTGGGATACCCACGTGAAAGAAACCTACAC